ACACATAATTTTTAAGAGAACTTTTTATTATTGTTTCCTTAGAGTTGGTTGTCCTTCATCCTTCCTGAATATTCGGAGGTTTTCAACCAGAGGTTCTCTGCATCGTGCTTCTACAAGTTTTTGGATCTAATACAAGGCATTCACAGTTTGCAATGCACATATTGGCATACATATATTTTTAACAAATGATTCACATTTTTGTAAGATTGAATCCTTTCTTATATCCTTGCAAATTTGGCTTTCCTAATTCTTTCCTGTGATCTATTATTATGCATTTATGGTCTGTTTATTTTTTTCCTTTTTTGGTTGGTGTTCTATCTTAATTCGTTTTCTTTTTTCTATCAGTAAATTACTATGGTGAGGCCTCTATACCGATGCATACCACATAACTAACTGTTTGACCCTTAGGTTTATTGTCTTCGGACCTCCAAATTTTGTATAATCTAAACAGTACATAATTTTAGTTGCTTATCAATAGTGTGGTTTTGAGTTTTGGTTTGAGTCTCATACTTTATTCAATGCGTGCCATCTCTACCATTATATTAGGAGTTTGGCTTCTTGCTTAGTTTTGAGTTATCTGGTACTGTGCCTGGGATGTGACCACAAAAACAATTATAGTACATTAGCGCATTTATTTATTTATCGCTATATCTGTTGGCAGGGTTTGGGAATCTGTGGATAGATTTCAATCAGCGGGTTATTAACTGCATCTTGTTTTCTTACAGTCATTAACTGCTTTGAACGAGGAAAATTTTGGTGTTACGGTTAGGTGATCTTGTTTCTACTTATCACAAATTACTGATCTGAGCTAGTAAGGTTGTTGCTATGAACAAGTTATTCTGCAATGTGTTGTATGTTTAAGAACAAAAAGGGGATCATCTCTATTGTCACCATGCCATGCTATCTGAGAGTGACTTAATCAATACTAGACGAATTATTATTGTGATGATAAATGGATAGAGCAGGATGTGTCACTAAGTAATTCTTATTTGCCTCAGCCCTCAGTATAGTAGTTATATGAACATTGATTGTGTCTGTGCTTGCATAATTATGTCTCAAGCTGCATCACATTTTCCATGTCTCACAGGATGAGTGACCACTAGATCATTCCTATTTGTTCATTGACCAACAGCAGTAGAGCACTGTACTCCCACGACATGTACATAATTCTTCTCTCAGTTGCTGGTGTGCATGTTTACATTCTTGCTATGCTGAACTCAACAACCACAGCTAGTCAGCTACAGCCTGATCAAGAGACAGCAGGGCTACCTAGCCCTTTGAAAGGAAAAGGATATCCATTTACACCTAGAATCTCCTTTTGTTGGTGGTCCTCACAATGGTGGAGCTGGTTCTTTCCCTTTCAGATTCACACGTGGGAGTGCAGTGGCAGTGACCTCGTGAATCACTTGTCGGTGAGGGCCCCAGATGATCAGCGTCTTGCTGGAAACAAAGGTAACATCGACTGCTGGTCACTATTACATTATGATATGATTATTATTCAGTTCCTTCTGATGCTGCTTGGTGTTAGTTCACCTTTAGTACAATGTCGTGGTAACGCTGTATTATACGGTAGATTTATTTTTTAAGGTTTGTCCTTTCACTGGATTCTTCTTCTGTTTATTCTTATAATGTGATGTGGTGGTGGAAGAGTATCAGCCACACAGGCCTTAGTTGGCTAGACTTTTCTATTAGTGGAAGTGAATCTCATCAACAGACTTTAACATAAAAGAACAGGAAGCCATTTGTTGAGTGGGTCTGTGCTCATAAAGAGCTAGAGATCATCACTTCCCACTCTGAGTCTAAGAAGCTAGCTTTCTTAGGTCCATATATAAACCATACTTGTAATTATCTTACTTGATATATATATTTTTTATGTGCAAAAGAGAAGCAACTTTTGCACCTTGTGGAAGATGAAATAAATGGAGGACAGAAGAACCAATTAGGTTTGTACTAATTCGTTGGCTTGTACGATGATGATTGATTAAAGTTTCTTTTGGCCTGCACAATTGATTCGTCAAGCAAGCGTGTGCACATACTTTTTCATGCTCGCCATTATCTCTAATGATTCTTTTAAGTTCCATAAGAAATCAACCTCGAGTCCTTGACTTTTACTGTGAGGTGATATGGACTCCAAAGGAAGTTACTGGAACAATTTTGTTATATTTTGGTCCAGATTACTCTTTGATGTGAACATCCATTGTGTTTCTTTTATTTTTGGATTAAAGATTGATCAAGAGATGAACATCCGTGTGTTACTAATGACGGCTACTGTTTTTGCAAATATCCACACTAGCTAGGGCACGCCTTTTCTCATGGAGGGTTAGGTTTACTTGTATTCAATCTACTTAATGCAGCTTCTTACAACACGGCAGCCCCGCAATGGTTTCAGATATCCTGTACAGAGATGCACACAAAAATGTTTTCCAAATTGTAGCATAATGATCTGAACACCAATTAGTTACAAGATTTATTCTCTGATTTAAAAAAAAACATAATAGTTTTTATTTGTTGGGAAGTATAATTCGTCAAGCAAATTAATTGAGGATAGGAGATCACTGTCTTTCCCTACTTGAGGCTTTGGAGACTGTTAATTGGATTGAAATACTAATACTTGACAAGCTACTCTTGCACTATTACTATTACACACAAACAAGTCATGAAAACCCCTATAATAGTTAGAGCATGATAAATTGCACACAGCAAAGCTTATCTATACTGACATGTTTTTTTGGTGTTAAGCTTCGAAGCGAAAATGCTTGGCAGAACACCATTGAGGTAGACGGAATTTAGTTTTGACAAAATATTTGGAAGTTAAACAGTGCAGTTTGAATTGTGGTATTTTAGCACAAAGTTCTGACTTCTGAATTAGCAGTCAATATCAATTTGGTATTCAAGGCCTCATTTGCTGTTGTTTTAGAGTTCTCAGCACTGGTTGTTATTTCTCAGTAACAAAGGTATTCTTTTCTTCTGGAAAGAAAGAGAGCTGAAGCTTTATTCTGAAAACCATCAATATTGGCAACCAAGTACAGGTAGAAACTACTAATTATTAACATCAAATTGGGATATCGTAAAAGCCAGGCACGATGATCACTGACCAACATCTGGTAGTGGTACTGGCCTTGATCTTATTAGTATTTTCATGATTTCTTGTTTTCCTTTTATCCTTGAATACATAACAGTATAACACAGTCAACTAACAACTTTACCTGTGTGACAGACCAACACAAACTTGAGCAAAATTAGTCTAACCTAGTGTATATAGATCAGTAGGAGTTGGCTGAAGTCCATCAGACCACTATCAGGATTGCTATCAGTGAAATCATCGTGCTTGCTTTTCATATGGGGGTTTATATTCTTTATTCGTGTGAAGTATATGATGATGCAATCTGGCATAGCGCACTCCAGTCTAACCAGTATAATAAAACAAGCTGTTACTGGTGGCAGCTAGTCACCATCCGTTTCTCGTATCCTACATGTGTCTATCTTGGCCAGTGTTTAGAACCTGGTGGTTCCTGGCCAGTATAGTTTAAATTTGAACTTGTAAATTGCATTATATCTACTCTCTGGCACTTCAGAAAATAAGTAAAAAAAGAAAAACAAACTCTCCTCGGATTATTCCATTCAGCCCATATTCTTTGTTGTTATCCCCCTACTCTGTGGATGATTATATTGATCAATTTGTGATATATTAATGACTTATGTGTTATATCCATTCAGATCTATGAAAAATTGCGCTTTAGCCGTGCCCAATTCTTCTAGCCAGTAGCCACCAGCCAGGCGACCATGAGTTTTTGAATTAAAAATTTGGATTTGAACACTTTTCTGGTAAAAACCGGTAACCGGCCAGTAACCTCACTGGCAATGCTTCTGATATTTTTGCCAAAACCGGTATTCATAACCTTGATATTGATAGGTCACATCAAGCATGCATCCATGAATGTCAGCGCTGGACACCTAGATGATAATGAAGTAGATACTTTTTTTGTGGCCATCTGATGGTTACATCCTGCTACTTGCAGCCAATATCACTCTGTACAATGTCTCGATTGTTGAGATTTTTAATTTTTGGAAAAAAAGAAGTCTTTGATCAGATTTTATTAGGTGGGCATTGCTTAGTAGTGCTGTTGTGCTAACTACCTTTTGGATGTCCTCAGTTTGCATCATCAATTTATGTTTTGTGACCAATGTGTGTTGAATACTTGAATGTTATCTGACATTTTGACAAATCCATAACTCAATATTGTAAAACAGAGTACATTCTTAAATCTGATGGATCCAGGCCAAGCAGTCTGCTACATGTTGATTCTAGATAGAACTGGAGTGAAACCCAGGTTTGGTTTGTTACCATGGTTTTCTGAAGGATAATCTGGACACCAGATTCCGGAGTGAGCTTTTGTTATCTACCATGCAAGTCAATCTCCGTCGGGAATTCCTATCCCTGTTGATTTTCCATGGAGGCGTGCCGTTAACGCAGCTTTGATGCAGTCATTTCATGACACAGGTGCAAATTTCGAATTGGACGACCTTCATGAATCAAGACAGCAGCTGGGCATTACAAGGACCGCGACACCCGGCTACCAGAAAGGGACTCGGCGCACTGAAATTGCTCCTGGGAATTTCCACACTGTGAAGACCAGGAGGACTTGAGCCACAATCTTCACAACCTTTGGTCCTTGCCTTTTCAAACCTTTGTCTCAAGACCTGCTACTGGTGCTGCTGGAAAGCTGAATCATTCCCCTCTGCTGTAGTGTTTTCTGCAATCAAGGTGCAAGATTTAGTCAAGGATACACCATCTTGTTTTGGTTGAGAAGATGGATCATACATGCCAAAGGTGGCTGCACTTGGTTGTTTGTGCTTCTGCCTACAGTCACTGGTGTGAATCTCATCATGCCACTCATGATCAAATTGTACTCCGAGGAAATGGACTGGAACCAAGATCAGGAACAGGTAATCCACTCATGTTAATGAAATGTCAATTATTGAAGACAATACTCGATGAAACTGAAAATTTCCTTTGCAGGGGGATCCATTGGATCTAATTACAATTTAGAGCTGCGAAAAAAAAAATCTCCTGCACTCATTATTAATTTACGGTGCATGGGATAATCGTTGACCTCTATGATGAACTCGGAGTCGTGCTGGACTATGATACAAATTCTCCATAAGATTGATATTAGCCTAACTGTTTCTGTCATGCAAGTACCATCAGTGCTAATCCTGCTTTCTTTGAAATGAAACGATACAAGTGACAAGAACTGATGTACCTTCGGTGACTTTGTGTAGATGCAACCAAGGGAGGCATTTTTCACCACGGAGATTGGGCAATGAGCTGTATTCTGCCAGCGGCTGAACCTTATCCAGGGGCCTCTGATGTCGACCGTGAGTTCGTCGCGCTGGGCGCCTAGGAGGAGTGGCACACTGTTTTTTTTCATGCTTATGGGCCTTAATCATGACTGTAATGGCCGACCCAGCAAATCCGAGGCCGGATTACCGATAAATCTGGTGAGTAAACCTGGTTGATAGATGGTGTCTGCTGCAAATGCAGTCCCCTGGAGCTCTAAGATGTGATGGTGGTAGTGGGTGATGGGTCCTTTTCCACGCTCTATTGACTATTAACCTACTAACTAGAGCTTTTCTTGATCCGCTTTTTGTGCCGCGCGTGCATGCGATTTTTGGCCATAATAACCATGTGATTTTTCAGCAACTTTGCATAATAATTCACTAATATATTAGCGTACCACTGATGTCTTGCTATTCCTTCCTGATCCTTTTTCTTTGTCCCCTGCCAGAATGGACAAGCATTTCAAGCATGGTGGCCTGGTGGGTGCAGTGCAAGTGCAACCGTAGGGAACATTTCTGCTGAAAATTGTTTTCTAGGTTTGAAAAAATGCTCTGATTTTGATGTTAGGTTTCAATTGGTTTGATCATTGGCAGCACTCTATATTTTCTAATAGCCTTTCTAGGTTGAATATGTCATGGTTTTTAGACAATACAGCCTACATTACACGACAACATATTTATACAATATTAATTGGCCGTTTTGTTAGGAGCTTCGGCTTCATCTTAGATCCCTCGCTCTAGTCAGGCCTATGTATTAAGTTGCTTATGTATAAAAACTTATTGGCTTGTCCTGGACTATAAGCCTGGCTTGTATGTTGCCATCCTTGGTTTTTCATGGATGACTAGCTAGCTTATTGTTGAAAAATCTCTAGATATTCTGAGGTTCTATGGGCTACTTTGTGTGGAAGTACATGTGTAGGGATGAAAACGGTTGGAATGGAAACGATATGCCTAGTATTCTTATTATTTTTATTGAAACGGTATTGATACGGTTATTTTTTTTCATATTTATGAATTTACCTTCTTAGTGGCAACTTTAATAAGGTGCAGATAGCAATTAGAAATACTAAATTTTTACAGTTAGAAGCAATTGGAAACAATTTTTTTTTATTTTCTTTACGGAAATGATAGCAGTATGGTTGGAAAATTTCTGTCATGTTTTCATCCCTACATGTATGTCTGTCTGGGATTACATACAAAGTGTTTCAAAACTTGAATGATGTTATAGTTTTCTTTTTGGAATTTTGTACATCGTTTTTAAATTTCCATACAACTTTGTGATTTTGATCTTTTTATGTACATGGACAGTCCGAGACCAAATAAAACTTTGAAGTGAACGAACAGAAATTAAAAGACACGGCTGTAGACATTTTGTTTTTACCCTAAGTGCCAAATGAATGCTATAAAAGTATATGGTTTTATGGAACATTTTAGAGTTGCTACCTATTTTCTTTGAAATAAATTGCAAAACCAGATATTTTGTATCATGGATGCTCTAAAACTTAGTTTTTTTTTAAATAAAGTTTACTCTTTTGAGAATTAAGTGAGCTCCCTGAAAAATAAAACAACTGATGTCCAAACCTACATTAAAAAAAAACCTTTGAAAGGCAGGAACGATAAAACATAAGGATAAGAAATACACATGATTTTGTTCTGAATGTATATACGGGATATTGGATCTTAAAACATAAGAAAAAAATAAGCATAATGTAAGGAAACCATGGAATTAGATGAGAGAAAGAGACTCGAGGGAAAATTTCAAAAGATTGGATTCAATGCTAACTTTCCTCCAACGTTTCCATTACATTAATTAGTCAATCCAAAGGAAGTTTATACAATTTTGTAGATACAATCTCCTGTTTCAAGGACTAAATAGGAAACATTTTTTTCCTAGGATTTAAATTCTGCAAGTTCACTTCATAAACCATTTGTTCCAAAGGAGACGAAAAAAAGAATTTGTATGGATTGGCTTGCAGTGGCAAGGCGGCTTTTAATCTTTGCCAAAAGGCAAGTTGAGAAAGCATGCTTAATTCTTAAAAAAAGAAACTCAAAAATGTTTGTTGCTTTTATGCTGAGTCTTGAGCCATTGTTTGCTGGTCCAAAAGACATTGAGAATGAGCATAGAGCGGTTGAGTATAACAATTCTTTTAGTGAGATCATTCATTTACATGGACATACTAATTCCTTTTGTTAGAACTTGACTTTTGTAAAACCATCCCTAACAATCAGGGCCGAGTCAGCCGAGAGCCATGAAAATTGACTACGCGTAATGCTGAACTCAAGCTCTCTGTTATGTCTTCAATGTTTCATAGACTTATTACATAATTTGAAAGGGTTTAAGGAGACCAGATCTAATTACCCTATGCTTATCTCTGCCACTGTCAACAAATGGAATAGTATATGGACCGTCACTTCGTGCCAACGGTTCTTATGAGAACGAAAAAGTACTCACTCCGTCCCAAAATATAACTACATTTAGCTCTAAGGATTTATCCCAAAATATAACTTCTTTACCAATATTCTCTTCCCAACCAATCATAACCGTTGACCATTCACTTTTCCCACTTACCTTCACTAATCTAATCATAATCCTACACCTTTCACTTCTACATACTTTCTTAGTAACCATGTCTAACTCTAAAACTTATTATATTATGGAACGGAGGGAGTACCATTTTTTATTACAAAATGCCTGTTAGAATATACCTGTAAAAACTCTAAACCTACAAAATCACTTCCTAATATAAAATTGTGTACATTTATATGTGGAGGTAGCGGTTGTGCACAACAGTGGGGAATTGATCACAGTTGACCCCTTGCATGGATGCCAAAGGTTTCCATCAGCTAATGTAAGTTGCATGTCTTGAGGTCAACATTATCAGTAGCGGACAAATTTAACCAAGTTGGAGCAGCAACTTACAGTGCTGTAACAGGGTTGTCGACTCTGATGTGCTTCACCTCTTTTGTGGTTCTCATCCATGTATCTTTAGCTGTATAAAGGTAATATCATAATCATATTAGCAAAAAGAAAAAAAAATAATTTCATTATCTTTCATGTGGCAATACCGCACTTCTAACATCGGCCAATTATTGGCACGTAATGACTGGACTATCGGCAACTAGTAGGGTAAATTGAAAGCGCATAACTTATCTGTCCCTTCTCTAATTATAAATATTTGATATCTATGATAGTATTCACTCAAAGTTTTAAAACTCTGACCATCAATTTTATAAATTCACTAAAGTTTATAATATTATATTATAACAATAAAATAAAAAAATATTGAAAAACCAACTTTTAACTCAAAAAGGGTGCCAAAAAGTTTTTTTTAAAAAAACATGAGAACTATGATTCAACCTCACTCTAGCTAGCTATTAATTCCACCACTTCTAGTTGGGGGTTCTATGTGACAGCATACTCTGTTCTGCCCACAGCTCAAGCAGCCTGGTATCCTCTTGTCAGTTGTCATGATGCTCCCTTATGTGTACAACCTCATCATTTTATTACCATATGGCCATAGCCCACATTGTTGTAATCACCTTTCTCTCAAATCCTCCAAGGACCCTCTACATAATTAAGCAGCAACCTATAGAAAACATGCTGTGTCAACCATGAAATAGCAGCAGTTAATTACTAATTAATGTTTAATTACATATAAGATACGCACATGCATCCTTCAACTAAACAATACAGTGTGTTGATATGAAAATTGGTCATTTAGGTCATCTGTAGTACCCAATATCCATTTTTCTATTTCAAAACTGAATGAAATGACAAGGTTAAATAAAATCAAGAGGCGACTTAGTCGATAAGAAATCATGGATAACTTACAGTCGGTGCGGTATCTGCTACGATCTACCTTTAAAAAGTAAGAAAAAGACTTGCATACATATATACCAAAAGTAAATTTTACTTCCAAAGCAAATAACACTAGAGAAATATACTACGCATGGAAGCTATATCCAAACACAAAACTGTTTGTAACCATAAGCATTTGTTTGGCTAATGGGTTAGGGAAATGATTTTCCACCCACCAAAACATCTTTAAATCCTAATTAACCATTCATTCTCCCTCTTTCATTTAATCCTAACCCTACATTTATTTTCCAATTCCAATCCCACCTCTCATTTCCAATTATCCAAACATAGCCTACATTCTCAAAAACATTTTTTCATGCATAATACCTCAGCACAAGCAAGCCACGCCGCTACTACTTCATGCCATCACCTCGAGCTGCGACGTCATCGCCGCCACGTCCTTCCCGCGCGGCCGCCGCCACCGGTGAGCTCCGAGGCAGAAGCCTTCTCTTTTCGCGTTGTCGCTTCCCCCCCCCCTCTCTCTCTCTTCCTCAACTCCGACAGATGCCGCCCGTCGTCGAGCGCCGCCTTCCCACCGTTTCGGAGCTCGGTGCCACGCCATGAGTCCGCCTCTGTCTCCTCATGCCAGTGCTGCCACTCGCAGATGCCGCCGAGCGTTGTCTCCGCCGAATGCCGCCGCGCCGGAGCGCACCCACGACGCGATGGAGCGCTGCCTTCACCAGAGAGTTCATCACCACTGGCGGCATCTAGAAGCCGAGCAGCCGCGGCCATGACATTAGAAAGGGGAAATAAGGAGGAACAAGAGAATATGACAAGTGGGTCGAGGGATATTTTTGACCTTTCATGCTCTTTATCTCTCATATTCAACTGGAAATTAATATTTTAATGTGTGCGGTGTCTAGCAGCAAATAACCACGTTTAGAGAAAGTTTTCCCCAAGAGTGAGTTTATGGTATCCTATAGCTAAAACCATAGAGTCGCGATGTTATGTAGCAAAATTTGCCTATAGTCATAGGTTCATATTACATATTGTCCCATACAACGTTACGTGATAAGGAAATTAAAAAAGCAACTCAAGTACATTTACGGTACGATCAATTCAAATGATAAAAGGGCTATTAACTCATTAGAATCGGATGAGAAATTTGAAGGCGAATTAAACAACTGATGGAGAGCATTAGTGTTATTCTAAAATTGCAGGCGTAGTTATTCTTATTTAATCAAGAGTAAAGTGTATTGCTGCGGTTCCTTAATTTAACTTGTTCGTTTATGTCATCTAGATTGCCAAACTCTCATATCTCTAAACTTATTGATTATTCCGGTTTCATATTGCCATGGCCATTTACGTGGCATGTTACGTGGACACTAAAGTGACACGCCACATAAACATTCCAGTCCCATATTTTCTTTTTCTTCCCCTCTACGTTTTCCTTTTTTTTCTTTTTCTCACACCGACGGAAACAAATAACAGAAGAAATAGGGGAGTAACAAAAGAAAATGAGTCAGCATCCATGTGACATACCACGTGAGCTCCACGTATGATCTCGGAGTTGTGGCCGTTTGAAACCGGAATATCATATTTAGACAAGTTCGAGGATCGAAAATGCAATTTAAGTGTTTGGGGGTGCTGTATGACACGGTTGAACATGTTTAGGGACGGGCATTGCACTTTACTCTTTAATCAATATATGGGGAGCCATCCTTTTTATTTATTAAAAACATACATGGAGCCGTACTCATAAGCATGGACGGAGGATTATTCAACAACGACAATTGAGATGAAACAAACTAATCAGAACGAAATATCAATTGGATGATGAAATTCGAAATTGACGGGCTCCCAAACAGCATTTTCATGCTCGATCTTCGATCATCAGCAGCAATGAACGCATCTTTATTGATTTTACACGACCGGACCGGGAACGTGATAACCTGAAAAATAATAATAACGTACGCATTACAACTGATCAACAGAAATTTCCAGAAAGAGAAGATCTGTATATATAGGAAATGAATACTATGGGCGGTTTTGGCTAATTTGATGCCTGCCCTACCAAATAGTTGGCAACTTAATTAGATAGCATTTGCAGACACTTAGTTTGTTGCCAATATTTACTAAAGCTTACACAATATTTGCAGACATTTTTTTTTTCTCTCTCGAAATCTAGGAAAAATATGTTTCTCTTATCTTTGTTTTACAGATTACAAATGTGGCTTCGAACCAAAAATATATTATCGAGATCCAACTAATTAAGCACGGAACATGTATACAACATATGTTTTTGGGGCATGCATAGTTGTTGATTAATTTTCACTACCACAAAAACTATTTTTCAGCTGACATCATCTGGATCTAAACTTCTATATATGGTGGATACACTATCGCATATAGGAATCGATTTTTACATACGATTAACCTAATTAAGTGACCTTATCTGAATATCATCATCAGCACCCACGGTGTGTTTCTACATATGGCTCTTTTGTGGTCCATCTGTAAAAATAAATATGGGTGTTGCCGATGTTTTTTTCTTCAAGTGTCTCCTGACCTAATTACGTATGTAACAACTGATACATGGAACATATCATATATATGTGCACAAGATTCGCGTGCACACCAGTTAACAAATGCCACGAAATTTTTTTAAAAGAAATCGAACATTTACTCTGATATATATATATATAGAAGTATATATTGTGCAATGCATGTCACACAAGCTTACTGCCGCAGTAGGAGCCAGGGAGGAGTGGGCGGTGGCAGTAGGCGGCGACGTAGACGGCCTTGTCCATGCACACGTACTGCTCCACCTCCGGCGTCACCATTCCGCACAGGCACCCCACGTCCACCCTCCTCACCGCGCCGCAGCACGCCCTCGACGGCGCCGCCTTCGCCTCCGCCGGGAACCGCAGGTACCCCTCGCAGCTCCCCATCAGCAGGTCCAGGTCCTTCTCGCACTTGTCCGCCGCCGACGGCGACACCGTCGCCGCCGCCGCCATGGCCATGGCGATGATCAGGAGGACGACGAAGCACACGGCAGCTGATGAAGACGATGATGCAATTAGCCTCGCCATGGCTGAAAGGAAATTAGCTAGTTAAGCAAGATTTGGTTGCTGAGTGGTGTTTGTGAGTGCTTTGGAATGGCCGAATGGGGGCTGTATTTATGGAGAGATTAGCATGGAAGTTTTGTGCAAGTTGCCTCTCCATGCATATGCGTCTTCCTTGATAATTAACTGACTAGTTAAATTAGTTTGTTCAATGCCTACCCACTTCTAGTAAACTGATTTAATTAATTAATCCATGTTTGATATGGCATGTTACTAGCTCTGTCCTACAGCAATTAATTGTTTAGGCGTTCCTTAAAATCACATGATGTATTTCGAGCTTGTTTGGTTGGTGCCACGTTTTACCACACTTGAGATACTCCATCTTATAATATAAGGGATTATGCTATAAATAGTACAAGAGTTTATATATGAGACATAAAGTATGATCTTGGGATCATAAAATCTCTTATATTATAGGATAAACATAATTCCTTATGTTATGGGATGAAGTAGATGAGTCTAACCAAATGTTGCTAATGTTTGGTTTGTTCTTACAACTTCTACGTGCCACACTTTCTTTATGTTTTGGTTCAGCTAGTGATAGTCCCTTTTTCTAGCCACAGTTTGATGGCAATGGGGGTGCACGATCGTCCGTCAGGTGAAGATAACTATTAATTTGGCGGACACCTGAGACACACGGTCCAGCTTTCAATCAACACGATCCAAACTCTGCAACCACAGTAACATGTTTCCTCTGGTTCTCAACCATGCCAAAACTCGATTGACCTCGCCGAGAAGGCTAACCCCTCCATGCCCATCGAAGAATACAAACAAGAACAAGAAAGATTAGAAGACAATTGTAGATAAATTATTAAGAACTCAAAGTTGGGGGTTCCACAAAACGATCTAGCTAGCGGCGAAACTACAATGACAGAAATAATCTAAGCAAAGTTCAGCTCTAAACGATGATGACTACTGAATAAATATGGGTAGTAACATCCTAGGGTTAGGCCTAGGGCGCTCACCTCCTTGGGCTTAGTACACGGCACAATAACAAGGCTCAAGATCCAAATCAGACTCGAACTAAAAGATATACGTGACTTGTGATCTCTGACTGCTAAGAATGAGTTTTTATGTGGAACTAGTATCATCTTAAAATAGAATCCATTACCTTTCCAACTAGTACTCATGGGCCCAAAAGCCCTTCTAGATCAGCGGCCAGATTCATTTGAAGTTGATGTTGTTATGAGGTCCAAATTCAAATTCAAATTCAAAACATGCAAAACTTCATCTCTTGACTTCTAGCAGTAAACTTGGTGTAACACCTTGCCTCCAAAATCCGCATTAGTCCGCTCTACACGTTGAGCGGACCCACGTTCGCATGGTATCCCGCTTACACTTTCGTCCTCGCCTCGTGTAAAAAGGATAACCCGGGGATACCATGGTTGGAGCACCAAGGCTTATAAGCAGGCCCTCACCCACCTAAACTTCCAAGGTGGTACTAAACCACCACTACACATCCACTTCTAGGCCACATGGGCCAAACACACACTACTAGGCTTCAAACGGGCTGGGGTGTTACATTCACCCCCCCTTAAGGGCTGACGCCCCGGCAGCTCACCGTTTACACGGCAGAGGCCCAGAACCCCCTCCGGTGCAGACCATGGCCCAAAGCACATACATCATACAGCGGAGGTTTATGCTCTGATACCAACTGTAACACCATGCCTCCAAAATCCGCATTAGTCCGCTCTACACGTTGAGCGGACCCACGTACGCATGGTATCCCGCTTACACTTTCGTCCTCGCTTCGTGTAAAAGGGTTAACCCGGGGATACCATGGTTGGAGCACCAAGGCTTATAAGCAGGCCCTCACCCACCTAAACTTCCAAGGTGGTACTAAACCACCACTACACATCCACTTCAGGGCCATATGGGCCAAACACCACATGGGCCAAACACACACTACTAGGCTTCAAACGGGCTGGGGTGTTACACTTGGGGAAGGACTTCACATGGTCCCAAATAAACTTCATTGATCATCCATGCAATCCTTGTGCTCGATCTCTTTCCCTTCACCCAAACAAGTATATCTTCAAACAAGAACACACAAAACTCATAGTGTAGTAACGTTTGTTCAAATATATACTACCTCCATATTTAAATGTACGACGCCGTTGACTTTTTGTTCAACGTTTGACCATTTGTCTTATTCAAAAAATTTATGTAATTATTATTTATTTTATTGTGGCTTGATTCGTCATCAAATATTCTTTAAGCATGACATAAATATTTTGATATTTACACAAAAATTTTGAGTAAAACGAATGGTCAAACGTTGGTCGAAAAGTCAACGGCGTCATACATTAAAATACGGAGGGAGTAATATATAAATCTTACATAGAAAACATGCATATTTGGTTGATGAATACATAAGGTAGCCATGGTCATATCCGAGCTAGTCATCATTGTCCCTTTCTTGATTGGAAATCATCATCGGTTTCACCTTGTCATTAAGACTGATGAACATATCTTTATCTATCACAATATAAGGCGAGGTGGACTTCTTGATGGACATGGTGATTCAAATATAGCAAATAATTTCTTCTATAAACAGTTAAGTGAATAAAGATCATTAAATTGAATATAGTCCAAGTATTTAAATAACATAGCGGTCTAAGCTAAGTTTTTCATCAAATTGAATTTATTCAAGATAGTGCTCGTTAACAAGCTTAACCCAGTACAAACTAAATTTGGCTATTAATTCATTAATATTAACAAGCATATGTGTGTCAAGTCGAGTCTTAAGGAACAACCCTAGCTACTATCACCCATGTAACACTACTACAAAATGGATTTTTCCGGACGAGACCCCTTTAGATTGCAGGAGGACCATAACTGCTCACACCTGCAAAAATTGATCCCCCATGCGCAATTCAGGGACCACGTACAAAAATCTATTTTCACAAGCTGGTCTCTTAACAGGCCTGTGTGCGAAAATACCACCCCTCTCTCTCTCTCTTCTCAATTTTTTTTCTCCCCTCCTCTCTATCTCCCACTACATCCTCTCACTACTAGAGAACTGATCTTTGCTGGGTCGACCCAAAACCACAATAGTCCTGGTTCCAAAATGAACCGAGACAAAAAATGATCTTTAGCCCTGGTTGAAAACCCCACAGCCATTCTACGGTGTTTACTCTCGGTTCATCCCTTGTCAGTGGCCTGTCAGGGTGCCAAGGATCTTCAGAGATCATCACTTTAGTCCCGGTTGGTAGACTAAAGACTTATTCTCCGGCCAAATGGTGTTTTAACCCGGGACTGAAGATATTTTTAGTCCCGGTTTTATCGCGATCGGGACTATTGTGGATTTTGGCCGACCGACCATAGATGGTTTCTCCACCAGTGATGGCTACGGAGCGGACAGGAAGATTGAAGTGCGCCAGATGGGAACACGTGTGGAAGCCTTCGTACCGTTTTCAACTCGAACAGCTGAGCATGCTTGGAACCTCAACGGCCGTGCCATCTATGATGCGTTGTAGCTGGCTGGACATCCAGCTGGGTACGGTGCAGCCGCTGACCGACGACAACACCAACAATACCCTGGCACCAGCCAACAACCCTCCCCTAGATCGCCCAAATTCAACAACCATCGCCCAGATCACCCCCAGCATTCGGCGGCGGGGCCGCGCATGGGCGAGTTGCGAGCGGCGGCAGGCGACAGCCAAGCACCCTCTCCTCTGCCGGCGTCCTTTCTCTCTCTTTTTTTTTGATAATTTGTGATTCATTGAGATGTATAATATGTGATGTAGTAGTACTTGATTTGTGTGTAATTTTTTTTAGTATTTGTAATGTATTTGATTTGTGTGTATAATTAACTTAAGATTTGTGATGTGAATGTTTTGGGATGTTACTTTGATTTGGGGATATGCATAGCACTCGATTTGGGAGAAAATACAGGGATTAACTCTGGCCAAAGAAACAATGAAAAAAAAAGAAAAGGGCACCAACTAGGACCGCTGCTACCCTCTCTTTAGTCCCAGTTGGTACTAAAGATACCCTCTTTTTAGTTTCGGTTGGTGTTACCAACCAGGACTAAAGATGGATCTTTAGTCACGGTTATTTCAATCGGGACTAAAGATGGGCATCTTTAGTCCTGGATTCCTAGCTCTGGTTGGAAACCCGGGACTAAAGAGTGTTACCAACCAGGAGTAGAAACGGTTTCTCCAGCAGTGTTTCCCATCCATCCCACTCGTTCACTCTCCCCACTCCTCACACTCAATCATCTCCCCACTCTTAACACTCCCTCTCCAACTTCACCACTCATCTCCTGTCTCCTTATACTCCCTCTCTTCCCAACTACGAGCGAGGGCGGTTATTGAGGGTGAGAGCAACAGGCTTCAACGGCGGGCTCAAGTTAGAGTAGAGGCTGCGGGCTCGAGCAAGAGGGATCTCGCCGGCGGCGGCAATGGGAGAGTCGGATCCAGCGCCCCCTCCCCTTCCCTCGCGGATCCCGGCGCCTCTCCACCCCGCCTTGCGTGAGGATCTGTCGGCGGCTTCGAGCGACAAGGACGACAACGACGGCAGTGGCGCTGGTGGCTTCTGGATTCTAGGGTTAGGGTTTCGGGGATAGGTTTTTGTTTTCCGATTTTTTTTTGCATTTTTTCCTTTTCGTTATCGGATGGCTTAAGTGTCCACATGCGGAAATTGAATTTTCATATGGGTTGCTCTACCCGCATGCAAAAATATGGTTTTCGCAGCCACTGGGCGCCGGCGGTTGCCACCTCCGCCTGCGAAAATATGATCTAACCATATGGAAAAAAAACCCTTTTTCTCTAATATAGTGCATACAAATTAGCTGGCCATTTGTCAATCTATCGTACCATTGAAATGGTCAGACAAATTGTAACCCTATACACCTCTTCTATATGTGCGTGACTCGGCCACCGCACCTCCTCATGTCCAAAAACAAAACTTAACCAAATCAGAGGATGCACCACTTACAGCCGGACAACCAGCATCGACCGTACAGTGAGGTGATGAATCTGGTCAGTTAACCAAGGAACAAACCGGATCTTGAACTTAACACACAAATTTCTCGTCAAAA